GCTCGGAGCTGCTGGAACGCTCTGTTGCAGCGTTGTTTTTAACGAGAGCTTGGTCTAATTCCCCATTCTAAACATAAATTCACTTCTGATTCCCCATCACCAGCCACGATCATAGAATTGTTTAGGTTGGAAAAGACCTTTAAGATCATCAAGTCCAACCTTTAACCTAACCCTGCCATCCCACCACTAAACCATGTCCCTAAGCACCTCATCTATCCTTTTAAATACCTCCAGGGATGGGGACTCCACCACCTCCCTGGGCAGCCCCTTCCAGAGCCTGACAACCCTTTCTGTGAAGAAATTTTTCCTAATGTCCAACCTAAACCTGCCCTGGTGCAACTTCAGGCCATCTCTCCTCGTCCTATGGTCCATTACCAGGGAGAAGAGGCCAACCCCCACCTCCCTACAGCCTCCTGTCAGGCAGTTGTAGAGGGCGATCAGGTCTCCCCTCAGCCTCCTCTTCTCCAGGCTGAACAACCCCAGTTCCCTCAGCTGCTCCTCATGAGACTTGTGATGATGGCACAGGAAGCTCAACCAAATAGCAAAAAAAAAAAAACAAAACAAAAAAATTATACAGTTAATAATACTGCAGTGCAATTCCTGTTTGAATTCAGTCACAGCCATTTCCTTCCATTACACTCTGAATTTCTTGCTTTAACAAAATTAAGAAGCGGCAGTTTACAGCTCTCGGTATTTATTCTTGACCCCGATAGACGTGCCTAATGGAAAGCGTTATAAAAATCAGCATCTGTATCTTAGAAAGACTGAATTGCTACGCCTGCACCGGAGCCGCCCGCCTCAGTCCCTCCCCACGAGGTGCGTCTCCGGCGGCCTGTCGATGCGGAAGAGCAGCTCGGCGGGCAGGAGGTAGCCCAGGTAGCGGACGCTGTCGGGGCTGGTATCCTGGTGGTAGTGCCCTCCTTCCCCATGGTGGCTGAAGCAGTGGGTGTGCTCCAGGCGCAGGTCAAAGCCCTGTCACCAGAGAAAGGCCCGTGAAGAGAACTGTGGTTCAAAGCCCTGGGAGAGCCTCTCCTTTATACTACGTATTTCCATGCATCCCAGAGCCTACTCCAACCATTAAGCAGTGAAAACCTGCAAGATGCTTGTGAAACTACTGAGACAAAAGATGAGGAAGTGTAGAAAGCTTTACCATAGGACATAAAAAAAGAAAATAATTTAGAAACCCTGGCAGCCCCCAACTTTTGGTGTCAATCTCCCAAAGATCTCTTTTTTTTTTTTTTTCCCCTCCTTTCTCTCCATTGGGATTAAATAAAGCATTTGCACCAAGGAACCCCTACTGGAAGTCAGAACCTCTTTGCACTGAATGCCCCAGACCCACATAATAAAGGGACAATCTCTACTCCAATTCTGAGAGCCAGCTTAGGTGAAAATGGGAAGAATAGAGAATAAAATAACAACTAGCATCCTAAACTGTGAGATCACCCCCACCAGTTTTATATATCATAGAATCGTTCAATGGTTTGGGTTGGAAGGGACCTTTAAAAGTCATCTAGGCCAATCCCCCTGCCATGGGCAAGGATACTTTCTACTAGATCAGGTTGCTCAGAGCCCCATCCAACCTGACCTTGAAAACTTCCAGGGAGGGGACATCCACAGCTTCTCTGGGCAGTCTGTTCCAGTACCTTGATCATTAAAAATTTATTCCTTATGTCCATCTATACCTTCCCTCTTTCAGTTTAAAACCCTTGCCCCTTCTCCTGTCATTACCAGCCCTGGTAAACAGTCTCTGTCCTGCTTTCTTATCAGCCTCCTTTAAGTACTGAAAGGCTCCTCTGGAGCTTTCTCTTCTCCAGGCTGAACAACCCCAACTCTCTCAGCCTTTCTTCAAAGGAGAGGTGCTACAGCCCTCTGACCATTTTTGTGGCCTCCTCTGGACCCGCTCCAACAGGTCCATGTCCTTCTTATGCTGAGGACCCCAGAGCTGCAGGTGGGGTCTCACCAGAGTGGAGCAGAGGGGCAGAATCCTCTCCCTCAGCCTGCTGGCCACGCTGCTTGTGATGCAGCCCAGGTTGGTCTTTTGGGCTGCCAGAGGATACTGGCATGAGTAATGCGACAGCATTTGAATGCCATCTGCTGCTGCTGTCCCTGCAGTGACACTAACACTTCCAAACCCATGGGCTTATCAGATTGCTGTTGAGCTTGCAGTGGACACAGATGGCCGTAACCCAGCTGCACTCACTACAAAAGTTGCATTGGTTCTGAATGGAGCAGCTGTTGATGGCTGTTTTCAAGGTACTCATCAGCTGATTCTGGGAAGATGCACACAATTTAGCCTTAAGTCAAAGGCTGCCACACAATTGACACAATAAAGTCACATGCTTGAATATATCCAAGCCTACAGCATGTCTCATTTAACTCTGGAAAAAATGTTTTTTATAGTACTTATGACTGCACTGTTATTTATAAAATAGTCATTTTTATCTATGGTTTCCTGGTTACTTTTAAATAGTCTTCCTAATGAACATCTTAATGGCTTTTGAAACCAGATTGTTTTCTGTCCTGAACTGCTTGCTGCTGTATTTAGCACTTGTGAAAGATGCTAGATAACTTTCTAGCATGAGGCTTTGCAGACTTTAACTTCCATTGGCAATTATGAAACATGTGCTTCACACATTTCAATGCAGCATTAGCAGAGACAGTTCTTATGAAAGTGAACTACACAAACGCAGGTCTGAACAGGCTTCCATGAACAAGAACAAGCCTGACATTTCTCCTGGTGTGGCCAGCAGTGAATGCGAACTATGCTGTGGGGTTTGGGATACAAACACTTGGACACTTGAAACTGGAACCGAACCATTAAGTTCAATCCACTATGAACAGCCACTAGGTTGCTGAACAAACTGACCTAGCCTTAATTCAAGCCAGTGACAGAAATGAGAAGCTTCTATTTCATTATATCATCTCTGGAAGAGTTTAGCACCATATATACACACTCCTGTTCTTAAAAGGAAAATCACACCCAAGACAGAATTCATTACAGGTCTCAGTTTACACTTAGAAAGAGACTCACCGGATCTCTGGAAACTATCACTGGCTGACAGATCAATGGAGCCTTCATTTCAAAGAATTTGAGCCAGTTATTCACATCCTCATCCGTATTCAGAGGACAGGCAGAAAATTCTGGAGGCTACAGCAAAAGTAAAAGCCTTGTAAGTGAAAGGAAGACACTTGTATCAGGATACTTTTTCTCTAGCAACTTCCCTTCACTTTTCCTCTCCCCACTATTCTGTTCACATTCCTTCTTGCCTAAAAGCAGCTCACCAGGGCCCATGACTGTGCTTCTGCCAGAAACAGAACTGACCAGAATACTGCTTCTTTCATTGCTCAGGCAGTGGGAGAACTACTGAAGTGAGGATTCTCCTTTCTGGTACATTTTAGAAGCTCAGTTATTTTAAAAAAAGTCTATTGCTTCTTAGAAGTATCATCTCAGTTTACTTAATTTCATTTCAATTCATGTTACAATAGTTCTACAGTTCTTTAGCTGCCCATGGATTTCAAAAGAAAAGATGATGGTATTAAGGCCAAGTAATACAGCACCACTAGTTTCGTAACATCAGTTTTGTAACGTTAGCTCCTTACTTTAATACACTGCTCATCCTAACAGTTTATGCATACATTTAAAAATACAAACCGAAGTCAAGGCACCAAGATGTTACACCCTGACTTCTATTTCTGTTTTCAGAAGGATAAAGAACGCTATATGAATTGAGAACAACTTACCATAATGTGAATCTTTGCTTTCCCCTTCTGAATGATAAATGTACCACCCATCCCAACTGGCTTTTCTCCATAGTGTTTCTCTAAAATTTGTCTCAGACAAGACACAAAGTTAAGTTCCCCAGTTCTTCCATTGGCTTTCACTTCAATGACCTGGAGAACAAAGTTAATTTGTCACTGCTGTCTCCTGCTGCAACAGTGTGCAAAGGTTTGTGGAAGCTGCTCTGAAATTCTCCCAAGCGTATAACCCAAGATTACTTGCTGAAAATGTGAGTTTCCCTGCAAATGCTGCTCCACTTGCATCCTTCCAGTACCTGACCAATTCTCTTTCCTGACTTTCTGTTTAACACTAGCTTTGCCTGTGAAGGGTGCCGGGCAGCAAGTCATTTACTCATACATGAGACAAGGATATAAGCAACCTGTCTACCAGCTGGCTTCCCCTCTGTTATAAGGGAACTGTTGGAAACAGAGAAGACCACTCAGTTTCCGCGCAGTAGTCAGGTTTTTGACTGCTCTGCTAACACCTGTCTGTGCTAGCTGTGTTGGGGGAAGCACGTCTACAAAAAACTAGACAACTGCCCAGACCCAATTTACACAAGTACATTGTACAACCGTTACCATAAACCACTGCTAGTTTGGACTGGATTTGGATAGATGATTTATGATGGAAAAGTTTTAGTAAATTAATACTTATCCCTCAAAAATTCAAATACGTCTCTGTCTCCACCAGTTCTTCCCCTCGTTCGCTGGCATCAGTTCCTTATGTTTGGATATTTCTTTTATGGAATTACTACTTTACTATTATCACAGAAAACTGATAGGAGAACACTGAAACATGAGTTTCCCTTCAGCCACAAGGCCCTACAAGCAAAGTCACCTTTGATTCAAGTACATACCTTACCAGGTTGGCCCTCACTGGCGTAAAGGTTGGCCAACAGCCCAAACTCACAGTCAGTGTATTTACTGCTGTACTTCTCAAGCAGGCACCCTTTATCTACAGGATTTATCTGAGCAATGTAGCTCCCATTTACAGCAGGCTTTTTTTCACTCTTAGTTTGAACAACAGGGATAAGCTGAGAGAAAGAACATGTAAGAGTAAGTCAAGTAACTCAATAAGAACACGTAAGAGTCAGTCAAATGATCAGAACTCACACAAATGCAATTTAAGCTTTGGACCATGAATCCAAGAAGCAATCCCCTTTGTCACACAGCTCTGTCTCTCAGGATGAGGTTTGTACTGGTAAGAAAAATGCACTAATATTGTAATGTAATTGAAAACTCCAGTAAACAGTTTTACTTATTCTGGACAGTTAAATTTAACGTTACGTGAAGATGAATGCTAGTGTTAAAAACAAAAGAAAAAAAAAGAAGAAAAAAAAAGTCTAATCATTGAGGCCTGCATGGAAGTATTGGAATTTTATGTAATACTTTCTCAGTGTGCAGTAACGACCACTATTACAGTGGCCCAAATGTAATGCTGAAACAGACTATCTCATCTGCCAATAAATGCATCAAAAGGAGATGGCAAGACCAGAGGTTTATACTTGACAAGTCTCTGACTAACCAAAGCCTCCACAGGCAGTAGTTTTCATCTCCCGTCTCTTTAAAATTTACAATGGTAAAACAAAGCCATCCAAGAGAGCAAAAGACAGTATTTCAAAGGCATTTACCAGTAACTTTGACAAGCATTTCTAAATCCTGTCATTAAAACCTCTGGTCAGGTCTTTGTCAATCAGTTTCAAAAAATTATGTTTCTTGCACACTTCAAAGCAATCACATGCTTCCCAGAGAATTACAAGTTAAAAATGAATCTTTATTATCTCAGTAGTATGCACCTCATTGGATGGTCCTCATCTGAATTCCTTCTAATGTGTTTTATGTGCTTTTGGGATGAATGCTGTTTATTAAATGTTTTGTTGTAAATGGGAAATACCCAGCATGATACTGCTCTATTATGATACTTCCATGAATTCATTGAGAACCATCACACTTATTTACTGACCTCAGCATTTACTCCAAGAATCTTAGATGAAGCAGCTCCAGCTCCAAGAATGAAAGCTCCAGGCAGCTCTATCTCATTTGCAACTGTATTTAGATCATAAACCTGCAAAAGATCAAGAATCCTTTTATTTTGGCATGGTGCTCTGATTCAGAATTGTCATTCCGTTCACTGTAACCTCTGAATGCATTTAATTCACAACACCCTCATTAGTATTTTGGATAATTAGGTTGAACACAGTTTCCGAAGAACACAACATAAGGTAATAACAAATTGGGTACACGTCCATTTGTTTTCTGAAAGGTAGAGTCTGCCTGGATGTTCCCCTGCCATTTTACCTCAAACCTGCATTATTGTTCTTATTAAAATTTATATTTGTGTAAAATAAAAAGTGGAAGGGAATATCACATAGAGACAGATGGAGTGAGGTGTCAGAAAGGAGACATGATATTCTTGGAAAAGCACAGTAATGTGAATCCAGTCTTGGCCTGCAAATGCAAATACAGACAGTTTTTACAAAGAAGCGTGGTTGTGACTTGAAATCACAGGCATGCAGCAAGCCATATATAAACATGCAGGCAAGCCCCTTGTTTTGTAGTTCCTTCCGTGGCTCCTGTCACAGATGGTATGTTTCCAAAACTATATTGTATTTGAGGGGAGAAGATGAACCATCAACCACAATATGCTATTTTTGCTACGATGTGCAAGACTTTCTGACACAGTCTATGTTTAACGCACATCAGAATCAATCTCATAACCCACTGAAAAGTAGTTTTTTTTCACAAGTGGAATCTTATAGTATCCGTCAGTCCTTAGTTTTGTTTATATTTCAACAAGATATTGCTTCCTTTTGACAATTGTATTAAACCCCACAGCTACAGGAAAAACTCACTTTTTCTTTCTGTACAACAGGTATGAGGTAAGGAACACCTCCCACATCCGCTATTCTAGGCTTTCCGCAGATTCCTGGAAGAATACAGCCAGTTAGCTTGGTAAATTATTGTTTCCTAATAATCTTAAATGAGCAAGCAGTCTAACCCACCAAAGAACTGGTTCCTCAAACTTCTAAAAATGCTTCGAGAACACTATTTCCCTAGCATGCTCAGATAAAGTGTTGCACTATTAATAAGTCCAAGGACAGTAAGCCCTAAAAAAATTCATAGTAGGATTTAATGCAACCTGTTGTAAAACTAACATTCTCCAAGCACAAAAAAAAAAAATATTACAGCGTGCAACAACTGCCATTTGCCAGCTCTCCAGTAAGATGCCTTCACCACAAAGTGGTTATCCCCACTGGGACTCCACTTGAAAAATTTCAGCAAAGCTGGATGCCCAAGCCTCAGGAGAATTCATCCCACTTATTTGGACACATATTTTAAGAAGGGATGAATCACCTTCTGGAGGTGTTTCTTTCACTACGCTGATGACAGAGGGAACTCAGATGAGTAGCACAGATGACGTGTCTGTCTTCCAGACAGCTACTGCCAAAGAAGATGATTCCCACTCATAATAAGACAGTTTCACTTCACCAACCTACATGAATGGCAGGAATTTAAAAATGAATGGAAGCGCAACTTCTTAGGTTCAGATAATGATTGGCATGGATGTAAAAAATTTCTCCGTCTGGAAGATAACGTCTTAATTTCAAAATCTTTTCGGTACATTAAATAAAGTTTATGAAATAAGTGAGTATTGCAATCATAGGTTAAGAAAAAAAAATTATGACAAGTACTTGGTAATGACTTGTCCTTGTTCATACATCAACTAGGAAGCAAATCCAGGAATAAACTGTAGCTTTCCTCACATGCATATTCTTTACCTGAAAAACAATTTAAGCTCTCCCAACATCTTTAGAAGATCAAAACCAAGTAGGATCAGGTAGAAAGAACTGGATAAGTCTTAGTGGAAGATAGGAATGCTAGGTTACCTTTAGCAGGAAACTTGAAGGGTTCCTGAGTTAGATCAGGACAGTCTACAACAGAGACTTCAGCATCAGCAAAGTTTTCTTTAAGCCCTTTCTGCAAAACTATAATAAATAATAATAACAAAATTATTGACAATGAAAAATTACCAAGAGTTTGACAAGTTACTAACAACAATAAATATATCTGTTTAGGCTTTATTTCAGCAAGATACATTAAAGGACTTATGCTTACACTATAACTCCATTGATTTAAATGTTACTGTACAGACAGTACAGGCACTTGTTTCCTGAGTCAGAGCTTCAGAGAAGAGCAAAAGCTTGGCCAGGTAATTGTTGGCTACCACATTAATTAATTTTAAGCATTTTAAAAACCTTTTAATTGAAAAACAATAACTGACTGCTCCTAGTAGTGCTAGGAGCAGCACAATGTGAAGTAATGTGGGTAAACTTAAACCACATTCAGCAGAGGTTTTGCTTCACAAGAGCAGACAATTGTGATCATGACCAAGTATCATGCGAGAGCAAAGGAAGAAGTAAGTTTTAGCTGAAGTGACAATCAATTCTTTAAATACATTAACTAGACTGCAATAGTCTGCTGTCGCAGGATATTGCCTCTCCTGTTTACGTTCATGCAGAGATTTTCTGGCAAGCGCCACTGTCAGTACAAGGCAGATACTGAATGGTGCTGATGATAATGAACAGCCCCAAATCTAAACTTGAGGGTTTGCTTCCTATCAGTGTTTGTAGGCTCAGAACCTGCAAAGTCACTCAAAGAACAGGGAGGATTCTGACTTAGACAAGTGCACTGTCTGGAAACAACTTCCAAACCTCAACTGAGTGTGGGATTGCCTTCACATACGCTGCTTCAAATACCATGTTAAAAGGTCCAAGTTCTTTCATGCCTGGGGGTCTCCTTTCGCAGATGTCTCCAACTAAGTAACAGAAAATCCAGTCTGTGATCTCAAATCCGGCAGTTCCTTATTTGCTCAGATTTCCCTGTGCCTTTGTTCCCTCCAGTCAGGACTTCAGCTATACCTTACTTCTCGGGAGCAGATTTACCAAGCTGTTGACCACAAGGGTCAGTAGAAGGTACTTGGCAGGTTTCTAAATACATCTCAGTACCTTCTGGTAAGTGGAAAAGGACAATAAAAGGGCACTCCTCAAATTATACTCAAGAGCTGAACAGCAAGAAAATCCACAGCTTACAGGAGGTCCTCAGGACAGACAGGGGGAAAAAAAAAAAAAAATCAAAAGGACTTTCTGCTACTGTTTTAAGCTGATCTACTGCAAGTACATGCTATTCTCTACAGACCCCACAGGTCTATAGCAGCCCTGGCCTATTGCCCCAGACTAATAGCTACTGGGTGAGAAAAGCACTGAGAACCACCCGGGGTACTGCTGGGATCACACTTTCTCAAAGCATGGAAACGTCAAACTGACACAGATTTGGGGGAGCAGCAGACTGAACTTGAGGACCTCTCTGAAAGAAAAAAAAAAAAAACCCACCAAAACCAACGCCTTTAGTACATCTGCTGCAGGAGACAGACTGTCACAAGGAATAATCTTTCTACAAGGGCAAGGAATGAAGCTCATGAGCCAGTGGGTTGGACCAAATCACCTCCAGCATTCTCTGCCAACCTCAACCATTCTGTTATTCTGAGCACATTTTATGAAGACTTTGGAAAAAACCAAACTAAATAAAATGTTTCCTGTGCCTGGTTCTAACGCAATCACCAAAAGAGGAGCCAACTAGGTTCAAGCAAGAGGACCTGCCATGCTATACTGATATTGTCAGCTGTCTTTTGAGTAATCCTGAAAAAGAGAGAAATACTGGAGGGTAGAGGAGGACAGAGGATCCCGTATGCGTAAATAAGTTTGTTCTGTAATTGTCAAACTTTCACAACCCAAGCACTAATCTGCAAATGCCACAGATGGTTTTAAAGGGTTTGAGAGCCCATTTGCGTGCTTAAATATCACTGGGGTTTGGGGGAGGAGTTATTGTTGGCTTTAAGGAAATAATAGCCTATAGAAAAATAGCAGTTTTCTTTACATCTCAGTGTGCTAAGAGCAGGAACATTCTCCATGCACTAGCTGCAAAAAGGTTTTGATACGAGCTTTAAGATTAAGTTTGAAGAGTAAATTATAAGTTTGTAAAAAGTTACATGCTGCATGACTTACCCCCAGCAAGCTCCTCCAGACTTGGAACATGAAAAGCAAACCTTTCGACTTTGGCCATTTCCTAATTGGTACTGATTTCTTCAGGTAAGAAATTGCAATATATCACAATGTAGGAGCCACCAGTCTGCCAACAAGGATAATAGTTTAATGATTAAAATAGGCTGTTTTCAATATGTTACTTATTTTTCAATTTCACTCAAGAATACATAGACAACAGCGGAATTGTAGTTCTGCCATCAAAGGAAAGACTAACAGCTTCAATATTACTGTGATTTTTCATATGTGCTTTGGAAGGAGATGTGTCTGCCAGCTCTATAGCTGGCTCAGAGCATTACATATGCTAGTCCTCAAGCTTACAACTGGCTGTACACAAAACATATCCGATGCTGAATCCAGTTCAAGGGACAGTTCAGGAGATTTATCTGTCCTTTGTAAGCCTGGAGTCATAATTTGGTTTTGAAAAAATACTGGGCTTTTCTGAGAACATTAGCTGCCTCCTCAGGTCCTCCCTACCTTAATGTTTACTTTTCCAGCATTGGCTGTGGTGGACTTTCAACCTCAGCCGTGACAGGGTCTCCAGTTGATTCTGGGCATGTTTTTTCCCTTCCAGAGGGGAACAGACTAGCAGCAAAATAGAAAACAGCAGCAGCAAGTTCTGCAGTACCAGAAAAATAGTTTTGTTTGAACATAAGTTTAAGAACCCCTTTACAAATTAACTATATTTCAGTCAGTCTTGCAACAGCAAAGTCAGCTACCAGGGCAAACAACTAGCTCAGGGCTACACTACCTCTAAATCAGCCACAGCAATCATTAACTCCTTAGGCACATGCTTGCTGCACATAGCAGAAAAAGAAAATGGCTCCTACTTACCCAGATCTCAAACCTTGGAGGAAAAAGCCAAAAACCTAATTACAATCCCAGACCTGACAGAGCTTTTGTTAGGAAGGACTATGATATGAGCTAGCTGTTTATGTATACTTTTTACCTTCTACTTAAAAATACCTAGCTTTTATGATTGTCAAAACCCCTAACTGTCCTTATACCATCAGCCTCTCAAGTCTGCACAAAGGAAAAAAAAAACCAGCAGAAAAAAAGAAATAAAAAGAGTTGGGAAATCATAGCAGTCACCTAACTGAGGTCTTTGAGCTCGAAGTTCAGCCACCCCAAATTACTGCTATAACAAGCAGTAGAGAAAGGGCTACCTGGGTATAGTAATTCCCATCTTTGTTGGTCTTACCCATCTCCACAGGCGACACCCTCCCTCCTCTGGCTGTGGAGGAGAAAGTAACAGGCTGGATTTGGTGCCTCTGGTGCCTACTGTCAGGTAGAGTGAATCATACCCCCAGACTTTAGGTGTGCACCAAATACAAGAAAGGGAGTAATGTCAGAGAGACAGATGATATCTTTGGCAGCATTGTTTTAGATGATCCTCATCCCCTCAAGAACCCTTTGCTGCATCTGGAAGGACTGTCAATCAAGACACCAGTTGAAAAAGTCCTGAAACAGACTGAAAAGGCAGGCTAGAACTGCTGTTGTGCAAAAGGCAGAGGCAAGACTCAGACATGGTTCAAACAAGTAGGCTCAAATATAACACCTAGACCATCACTTGCTGTTTACGGGGCAGTAGTCAGCTCCCCACAATCAAGAAAGGAGGGAAAGACTGTGGGAAAAGCTTGATGCACCAGAATAAACCCAATCTGATTGCTAGATGGTAGTCCTTACCAGGAAGGACACAAAGGAGAAGTAGATCTGTGAGTCACCACTGCAAGGAAAGCATTCACAGGGGATTTTTTGTGGTGTGGAAGAGGGAGAACCTGAAAGGAGACAACAACAGACAATTAAGATCCATCACGGAGGCGTAGTGACATTGAATTACTACAGACTTTCAAAGGAAGGACACAAATGCCAAAGGGACGATAAAGGTTATGAGATCTGGGATGGTGCAACATGAATGGAGAGAACAAGCATCTGAAAGGACTTTAAAAGTCTTCTTTTTGAAGCAGGAAGAAAACATCAGAGGGAGTAGTCAAGGGCCAGGAGAATGCAGATGAAATGGGAACCACGGTATTAATGAGGTGGGGGAGTTTCTCTAGTATCAAAACATGAATTAAAACTAGTTTGGAGGGTAGAAACCAGAAAAGAGAAGTTATAGGCAGGCTAGAGATGAGACAAGGTGGAGGGAAAAAGAAATACCAGGGAAAATTTGAAGATAGCAGTGAGTGAGAGGAGATATTTAGCGATGACACCAAGAAGAGCCAAACATCTACAGATGCATCTGCAGAGGCTGGATTCCCCCGCTGGGGCGACGTAAGGAGACCCCGTCCGTGGAGAGGCAGGCTGCAGGACCGCAGGGGCATCTGCTCGAGCGGCTGGCATTTAGGGGAGGGACGGGCCATGGCAGGGCAAGAACAGGCGGGCCAGGCGAGACTGGCTCCTTAGGGAGCGCATCCGGGCAGCGGAAGGCCGCGAGGAGAGCGGGGGCAAG